ACTATTCTTTCTAGCCTAACCAGGCTAAACACGTCCGTGTAAAACAAAGACTCGTACTATACTGTTTTATTTATAACAGGTAAAAAATCGATTGGCAGGTCGGACCGGGCAGGGTCGAATAGAAACATAGATAATACAGATAGGTAAACAAAACATAGTTAATACACATATTTATTACATATCTGAATGATTTGTTTCAAATTAAATTGATTTTTTTACGATCCGAGTCGTATATTGCATCCTTTTGAAATTGTATGGACGCAATGTTCTTCAGTTTATTTCAATTTAATAATTTTTAACTCCCTTTAATTTCAATTTATTTTTGACAAAACTGCGAAATTTTGTTGAAAAAAAACGCGAAAATTTTTTCACAAAACAGATTATCAAAAAAATTGGGCGAAATTGGGCGAACATTTTTGCTTATTTTTCTAAGAACGAAATGCGAAAAAGTGCGAAAATCTATTTACCCCCATTTCGCTGGAAAACAACTCTATCAATTGTAAACCTTTATTTTCTGTCTGAGTCAAGATTAATGCATTCTTTTGAAAAGAATTGCCAGGAGAAGAGAAAACATGTCCGCCAATATATTTAGTTTAATCCTTTTATATCTCAGCCATTTATCTAGATTTATATATATTAGATACTTTACACCCTGCATTCACACCAATTCCCAAATTAAAGAAAAAAAGTGGATTTATATATATATGTTTTGCATGTACAATTTAGAACAATACCCTTGAAAGCTTTGTCTGATCAAGTATAAATTAGATATTAATGTTTTTTTTTCTTTAAACTGTTATATTTATTTGCGGTTTCTCTGCAAAAGTGACTTGCGCATTTCTTGTGATGTAATCTTTAAACTGCTCCAATTGAAAGCAATTATGTTGGTAACATAAACAATTGTCGAAATATTCAATAGCTCAAACAGCAGTAGGTTGGACATTATAGCGTCTCAAAATACACATTTCAGCAGCAAAGATTAAATGTCGTCTTTTTTAAACCAGTGCCGATTAGTGTTAGCAAAACTCTACAACACTAAAAAAATGATTTAAATGATAGTAATAACTCTACAAAATAAGTAACTGGAGGTGCCCTTTAAAACTGCCTAACCCAATTCGTGAAACCCGAGTTCTAAAACTACTTTTCTTAACGATACCTTGTCTTAAGTTTTGGGCTCAGTCAATACGGCTGAATGCACACATGCAGTAAATGTTTTGCGAGGGAGGGGGTGTAGTGCAACCATGAGCCTTGCGAACTGACCTCCAGTGCCTCCTGATTTGCAGAATGACCTCCTAGCCAATCAAAATCATCTCCATGACTCATGCTACTTCTCCCACCTCCACAATTCTGACTTCACGTCCAGTATTCTTATCTCCGACATAAAAAGATAGTATTTGAGCATATACAGGATGAGTAAAAAAAGTATGTTATTTTTCAATATTTTTTGGAATTTGTTTTTATTGTACTCCAATGGCCCAAAAAATCCGCGAAACTTTTTTCTCTCTCAAAATCTGAAGTTCAGAAAAACAAAAATGTGCATATATTTTATTTCTCTCAAATTCTAAAATTTTGTAAATATTGAATAATAGAATCACAGAAAATTCACAAAATTGTTATATGAAAATTCGCAATTTTCAGTTTAAATTTAAAAAATATTAGATTTTGTGAAATGCTTCAAATTGTGCTACTATTGTATTTTATTATTCAAGTATTTCACAAAAACTAATATGTTTTCGGTGTCATTTAAGATAAGAATGTGATAAGGATGTGAAGCAATAGTTGCGAAGGTTTTGGAGAGATAGTTTTAAGCATGGAGATGATTTGGATTGGCTAGGAGGTCATTTTGAGAATCAGGAGGCACTGGAAGTCAGTTAGCGGGGCTCTTGGTTTCTCTTCGGATCATACAACTTTAATAGTTGGGTGCCATCCATCTTTAGTTTGTGCCCGTGAGTAATGGTGGGCCAAGTAAAATAAATTCCAAACAAAGGCAACAATCTATTTTTATAGTATCTTGACTTCTTGATTCGTAGAAAAAAAGGAATAAATTACAAGTTAACTTCCTAAATAGATAGATAGATAGGTAGATAGGAAGATAATCTGATAAACATTATTCTTTTTCTATATATACAATGTTGTTAGGTGGCTTCTTTAATTCTAAAATTCAATTTAGTGGTTCCATCCTAAATCATATAAATAATATTCGTGCCAAGAGGACAAAGAGTTTGTTTAAAGGGACTGTAGGGCGTAAGCGTAATTTCAAGTGATCCTCCACGCAAAGATGGCAATGCCTGATTTACAACGGTTGTCTTGAAAGCTTTATTTTATCAAAATATGGAGTTATTTTATTGCTTCCTATAAGCAAGAAATGGCAAGTCACTTTCGCAGAGAACCCGCAAATGAAAATAAACAGTAAACAAGTAACTAATATTACAAACAAGTAACAAATATTGTAAACAAGCCACTAATATTGTAAACAAGCAACTAATATTACAAACAAGTAACTAATATTGCAAAACAAGCCACTAGTATTGTAAACAAGCAACTAATATTGTAAACAATCAACTAATATTGTAAACAAGCAACTAATATTGTAAACAAGCAACTAATATTATAAACAATCAACTAATATTGTAAACAAGCAACTAATATTGTAAACAAACAACTAATATTGTAAACAAGCAACTAATATTGTAAACAAGCAACTAATATTGTAAACAAGCAACTAATATTGTAAACAATCAACTAATATTGTAAACAAGCAACTAATATTGTAAACAAGCAAATAATATTGTAAACAAGCAACTAAGATGTGAATACGGCTGGGCTGAGGGCCGGGCCAGAGCAATAATTATTTACTAAACGTTGTAATATGATAAAGCTAAATCAAGAAATGTTTTTAAAAAAGCATTGATAGATATATATAAACAAACCCTTTACCCCTCTTCTCGTTCTATGTACACCCCTTTAGTTCATTCATCGTTACTAAATGGCGTCCTACTGCTCTAACCTCTTCATTTATGTTGATATGTAAACATCAATAATTTGTAAAAAAAAAGTATTCATTTTTTGCTCACTAAAAGGTAACAATTTTAATTGAAATGAAGTTTTTAAAAGATATTGCAAAGGTGAACTTAAATTTGAACTCAACTGGCTCGAGACTGGAAAAGTTTCTAGCTTTGAATAGTATAATTCTGTGTTCTAGTTTGTTTTTTTCTCTCTCAAAATCTGAAGTTCAGAAAAACAAAAATGTGCATATATTTTATATTTTATTTCTCTCAAATTCTAAAATTTTGTAAATATTGAATAATAGAATCACAGAAAATTCACAAAATTGTGTTATGAAAATTCGCAATTTGCAGTTCTGGTCTAATTTTAAATTTAAAAAATATTAGATTTTGTGAAATACTTAAAATTGTGCTATTATTGTATTTTTTTATTCAAGTATTTCACAAAAACTAATATGTCGTGGTGTCATTTGAGATAAGAATGCTGGATGTGGAGCAAGAGTTGCGGAGGTTTTGGAGAGATAGTTTTAGGCATGGAGATGATTTTGATTGGCTAGGACTAGGAGGTCATTTTGCGAATCAGGAGGCACTGGAGGTAAGTTCACGGAGCTCGTGGTTGCTCTGCACCCCCTCCCTCGCTATTTTTTTAGTATCTTGACTTCTTGATTCGTAGAAAAAAAGGAATAAATTACAAGTTAACTTCCTAAATAGATAGATAGATAGGTAGATAGGAAGATAATCTGATAAACATTATTCTTTTTCTATATATACAATGTTGTTAGGTGGCTTCTTTAATTCTAAAATTCAATTTAGTGGTTCCATCCTAAATCATAAAAATAATATTCGTGCCAATAGGACAAAGGGTTTGTTTAAAGGGACATGTATGGCGTAAGCGTAATTTCAAGTGATCCTCCACGCAAAGATGGCAATGCCCGATTTGTAACAGTGTTGCCTTGAAAGCTTTATTTTATCAAAATGTGGAAGATGCCGTCCTTATTCAGACTCTAAATGTGTTTATTTCTGTGAGTTTCTTTATTGCTTCCTATGAGCAAGAAATAGCAAGTCCCTTTCGCAGAGAACCCGCAAATGAAAATAAACAGTAAATAAGCAACTAATATTGTAAACAAGCAACTAATATTGTAAACATGCAACTAATATTGTAAACAAGCAACTAATATTGTAAACATGCAACTAATATTGTAAAGAAGCTACTAATATTGTAAGCAAGCAACTAATATTGTAAACAAGCAACTAATATTGTAAACAAGCAACTAATATTGTAAACAAGCCACTAATATTGTAAACTAGCCACTAATAATGTAAACAAGCAACTAATATTATAAACAATCAACTAATATTATAAACAATCAACTAATATTGTAAACAAGCAACCAATATTATAAACAAGCAACTAATATTGTAAACAAGCAAATAATATTGTGAACAAGCAACTATATAATATTGTAAACAAGCAACTAATATTGTAAACAAGCCATAAATATTGTATACAACACATAAATATTTTAAACAACCCATAAATATTGTAAACAAGCAACTAATATTGTAAACAAGCGACTAATATTGTTAACAAGCCATAAATATTGTAAACAACCCATAAATATTGTAAACAAGCAACTAATATTGTAAACAAGCCATAAATATTGTAAACAACACATAAATATTGTAAACAACCCATAAATATTATAAACAAGCAACTAATATTGTAAACAAGCCATAAATATTTAAACAACCCATAAATATTGTAAACAAGCAACTAATATTGCAAACAAGCCATAAATATTGTAAACAACACATACATATTGTAAACAAGCAACTAATATTGTAAACAAGCAACTAATATTGTAAACAACACATACATATTGTAAACAAGCAACTAATATTGTAAACAAGCAACTAATATTGTAAACAAGCAACTAATATTGTAAACAAGCAACTAATATTGTAAATAAGCCATAAATATTGTATAGCTTTGAATAGTATAATTCTGTGTTCTAGTTTGTGAACAGTTCCAGTTAATATCAGAGCAGAGCTGTATTCCAGTCAGTCAATCAAACTCAGTATTTGAAGATCAAAAACCCTGTTATTAAGTTATTAAAGATCAAAAACTCTGCATTTATAGATCACCAACTCTGCATTTACAGATCAAAATACTCCGTATTTACGGATCAAAAACTCTGCATTTACAGATCAAAATACTCCGTATTTACAGATCACCAACTCTGCATTTACAGATCAAAATACTCTGTATTTACGGATCAAAAACTCTGCATTTACAGATCAAAAACTCTGCATTCACAGATCAAAAACTCCGTATCTACGGATCAAAAACCCTGCAGTTACAGATCAAAATACTCCGTATTTACGGATCAAAAACTCTGCATTTACAGATCAAAAACTCTGCATTTACAGATCAAAAACTCCATATTTATGGATCAAAAACTCCGTATTTACGGATCAAAAACCCTGTATTTACGGATCAAAAACCCTGTATTTACGGATCAAAACTCTGTTACTAAAGATCAAAAACTCTGTTATTAAAGATCAATACTCTGTGATTAAAGATCAAGAACTCGTTTATTAGAGATCAAAAACTCTGTATTTATAGATCAAAAACTCTTCTAAAACTCCGGATTTACAGATCAAAACAAAAGTGAAAAATTTTCAGCTGTGACAAAGATATGATATCGTGCTTTAAAAAACACAAACTTACAATATCTAATATCTAATTAGTTTATAAGTTGAATTTCTCCAAGAACTGAACAGATCATATGCTTTTAAGTGTTAGACAATAGACATGCTAGCAGGTATACTTTATTCATTTAATGCTATCCGATCTGGGAACTTTTGAATGTTGGATATCGGGATTAATGCTTGATCCACTCTTTTTCTTAATCTCTAGATTAAATAATGCTTGGTCTCCTCTTGTTATTAATCTCCAGATTAATTAACCGATTTGGATTAAGGATATCCCATTCATACAGTTTTCATCTCCGATTCGCTAAACATTTTCTAGCTGCGATATTCCTTTCTGGGGTCTTAGCATTTTTGTAGATTTTGATTTAAGAGAATTAAAAAATATAGAATATGAAAACACTAAAATTAAATAATATTTCAAAACAAAAATATTGATATCCACAAAACTGCCTAACCCCATTCCTGAAACCCGGGTTTCAAAACTGGTTTTCATGACGATACCTTGGCTTAAGTTTTAAGCTCAGAGACGACTGTACAGAATTTATACTGTCTGTTTCCTTTATATATTTATGATTGCCAGCAACTGTAAACTTCCTTCTTTCTTTGTCAATTAATTGAATACGCCATTTAAAGACCACAATTAAAGCAGAATTGACTAAATTAAAACCCTGTTTCCGGACTTTAGTAAACGTAAATTCAACCTAAAGTATGACCGCGTCAACCTTGTTGCAACCGGCTAGTCCTTTTGAGTGTCTGCTTTATTTACACAATGTCCGGGCGATATAGTACAAACTGGGACCGGAAAGGTTGACCCGGCTCGGATATTCAAATGTACTACAGCTGCCCGTGCAGAGAAGTCTGTTTGTTTAGATATGCTAGTGATTCTCCTGTTCCTAGTCCTTGTTATATTCATATCAATAATCTGGATTATCAGGTTAGTCTGTTTTATTTATTTTTATTTTGAGAACAATTGTATTTTACATCCTGAACATTTTATTTGGTTTAAGCCTAAACAGGCTGGGGGGGGGGCATATTGCCCCCTTGTAGTTTTTTTGTTCTAGCACTCTCATTTTTTACTTTAACAACCCTCCCTAGCACCCAAACTATTAAAGTTATCGGTCTAGTTTTTTTTTCTATAAGCTGGCCTTGAGAAATTGGGCTATGAACATGCATTTAAACCCTATACCTATTCCTAGGGAGGGAGGGGGCGCCAAACGCCCTCCCCAGGCTTTACATAGATTCAGATCCCCCAGCCTTTATAGGGTTAATGTAAAAAGTATAACTCAAAATGTCATTTTCCCGCTAAATGTTTTCCAGAAGTTAATTTTCTGAAATTCTATCCCTGCACCGAGCTATTGAGCTAACACTTGTTTCATCTTAGCTCCGGGTCCCTATGAGGACTAAAGGGGTTACAGGGTTTAAAGGGTTAAAGGGGTTATTCTGTAGGTTGAAAATATCTTAGATTGACCTAAACATTTGTAATCAATAGAGATATTACGTTTGAGATTAAACTCTAGAAATAGCACTAAATACATGATTCGTCTGCTTGCTTTTTTGCTGAAAAAAAGATTGAATACTAATTAGTATACATTTATGAATCATGATATATAAAACAGAAATTATTTTTAAATTGTTAAATTTTACGTATTAAAGAGAGTGACCGACAATTTATGGTAGTTAAAGTGGGTGAGATTCCAGTATTATTGAGACATATTTTAGGATTCATCTGAGACCTTTCAGACGTTTTCACGGCGCATATTTGTTCAGCAAGAGCGCAAGTTCAATATTTAAAATTCTAACTGATTTTCCATTTGGGAGAGATTATTTCTAGAATCGATTTTATAAAAATTATTCAAAAAATACGAAGAAAGGAATTGAGTCTTTGCCACAAACTCTGCTTTTCTAAACCCTGTATCTTTGGATTCCAATGTCGTAGACCTTAGATATTTCAAACTATGAATTCTGTTAGATAAATTAATATAAGTTTGAAATATCAAAGATTTACGACATTGGGTTCCAAAGATATAAGGATTATAAATTCAGAATTTGTGGCAAAGACTCAATTCCTTTGTAACAAAACTACATAGATGTTTAGGAACATATTTTTCATTAGAAATTTGTCAGTAGATCAATTCTTTCTTTTTCATCATGGTATTGATTTTTTTTATCTTTTATGAATGTGTTCGCAGATTTCTTTAAATTCTTCAAATGTCGTCTTTTCATTAAAAATTCCAGGAAATCTACAGAAAATGGTTATGAACATTGAGACATTACAGGAACCAATAAATGAATAAGATTACTTATTTTTGATGATAAGAGTTGGCTTTTGTTTTCTCAACCTGTTTATAAACAACTAATTAGTTTACTGTATGATTTGATGTTACATTTATCGTCGTTGTCATTGAATAGTTAAAATAAAACCGATTCTCAAAATCATACTTCCAAATGGACAATCTCTGAGGATTTTAAAGATGACATTTGCGCTCTTGCTGAACAAATATGCACCGTAAAAACGTCTGATAGGTCTCAAATAAATCCTAAAAATTATCAATTATACTCCATTCTCAGTTCATCTACCATACAGTGACGGTCACTCCCATTTGTTAGTTGTTCTTATTTATAGATTGGCAAGGAAAGCAAGAACGCACACAAAAGAACTACAGGAAATTACTCACAAATTTTCTAAATCTTTTATAAATTGTCAATATGTGTTGATTTGACTTTTTGAATCCATAACAAAAATCCTAAAAGTAAACTATTGGTTGAGATTATGTTCAGCAGAGAAGCCTGTAACGTTCACGGCAACTTTTTAGAGTCAAATTGATTTAATTTTACGCCGTTTAAATCTCAGAATCTGATTCAATTATAATTGGTCCAGGATGTAACATAAAAGGGGTCACAGACGGGTTTAAAAATAATTAAGAAACGATTTAGAATAAACGACTTTGATCCGTTCCATTAAAAGTTTACGTCTCCGGGGTTTAAAGTAAAAAAACATTTTAACACTGATTAAAATTTAGATTTTTATTTTGAGTCAACTTTTGATTTGTGAGAAATACTTCAGAGACAACACGATCTTCTGGACAAATGTAATTGCCAGTGCTGTACAGGAGATCAGGTATATACAGTACACATAGTACACTACCTTACATTGTAAACTGTACAGTACTGTACATCAGTGCTGTACTGGAGATCAGGTATATACAGTACATATAGTACACTACTTTACACTGTAAACTGTACAGTACTGTACATCAGTACTGTACTGGAGAACAGGTATATACAGTACATATGGTACACTACTTTACACTGTAAACTCTACTTACTGTACATCAGTGCTGTACAGGAGATCAGGTATATACAGTACATATACTACACTACTTTACACTGTAAACTGTACACTGTACAGTACATTCGACATTTTAAAGATAAAAAAAATTCATAGAAAAAAAGTCCCAACAGAAAACTTGAAAGTTTGACTTTGATTCTATAATAAATTGAAAAAATGTTGGAAGATAAAAATTGGGAAATGTTCTTCTGAATAGATACCAGGACAGTGCATTTAATAATTTTTTTGAGTCGATTGATAGCCGTTTTAAAAGTTCATTCGCTGAAAAAAATGTAAATCCTTCCAGAAAAAAATAGACTTTTTAATGTCTGAAGCACTGATAATACCGAGAAAACGAAAGCCAAATTGTTTAATATAGAATTTAGGAAATTCTGTCAAGAAACTAGATCTAGATTTAAAAATATAATGCAGTGTATTCTCGCCTTGTGACTTGTGATGGCAGTACGAAAAAAATACGTTAATGATGAATTTCAAGAATATAGTAAAGATTGTAAACAAACATGGCTAACTGTCAATAGTATACTAGGAATTGGGACGTAAAACAGTTAAACATTCCCAGCGGCCGTAGAAATGTCAGAGGGTTTTAATAATTTTTTTTGCTAATATAGGCCGTGATCTAGCAAAAACTTTTAAAGGCACTGAAAAACAATTTTCCGACTTTTTGTCATAAGGAACGGATGAAAACTTTGTTTTTGCAAATATGACCCCTGATGTTATAAATGATGCTCCCTAAAATAGAAGATTGGTTTAAAGCAAACAAACTGACATTAAATGCGTCTAAAACCAAATATATTCTCTTCAAAAAGAAAAAAGAAGATGTAAATATCACCTCTCTGAAACTTCTATTAAATAATAAAGAAATTGAAAGAGTAGGAACTGGATGTAAAAATGAATCTTTTAAGTTTCTAGGTGTTCATTTAAACGAAAATCCTAACTGGAACAATCATCTCAAGTCTATTAAAAACAAAGCATCCAGTGCAGTTTTTGCATTGTCAAGTGTGAAAATTATTATTAATGTGATAGAAACCTAATTGATATTCATGTAAAACTAATTAGATATGTTTTAATATGCTTTGATAGTTGTTGTGTACAGTACATGTCAGAAAAACTCTAGTTATTCTAACAAGTGTATAAACTATTTTGCATAAGATAAAATCGCACCCTGATCTCTAATAATTCTCCTTAAATCTATTTGATCTATTAGGTGGAAAAAATAATCAAGCGCTTTTTTCCACTTAATTGCTTTATACTTGTACTTTTAAAATAATTATCAATTTGTAATTGTAAATTAGATCTGTACACAGACACATGTACTTTAGCAATAAACTTTATTTATCTATCTATTGTACAGCAATGCAATGCAATGCAATGCAATGCAATGCTGTACTAGAGATCAGGGATATACAAGACAGTACTTATACTTATAGTACACAACTTACACTGTACTGCAATGTTGCACAGGCAATGGAGATCAGGTATATACAGTACATATACTTATAGTACACTTCTGAATACTGTAAACAGCAGTGCTGTACTGGAGATCAGGTTTATATAGTACATATACTTATAGTACACTACTGTACACTGTATAGTATTGTAAAGTACTGTACAGCAGTGCTATACTGGAGTCCAGGTGTATTAAAATAGTACACTACTTGACACTGTACAGAAGTGTACAGCAGTGTTGTACATGAGATCAGGTATATAATGTACATACACTTATAGTACACTAATGAACACTGTACTGTACTGTAATGCAGTGCTGTACTGGAGATCAGGTATATTTATTACATATAACAGTAGTACACTAATGTAAACTGTACTGTACTGTATAGCAGTCTTGTATTGGAGATCAGGTATATACATGGTACATATACTCATAGTACACTACTGTACACTGTACAATACTATACAGCAGTGCTGTACTATAGTAATAAACCCCATATTTGTAACCTGAATATAACGTATATAACGTATATAATGTATATAACGCGATAACATTATCTGTAGAGAGCATAGAGTCTGAGAGTGAGTTGTATATCGATTGATAAATACTGACGAATACAGAAGGTTATACCTGGATTGGTACAGACTAAAAAGAACTATTGGAGTAAGGCATTTGCTACACATATAATAATAGTACACTACGGTAAACTGTACCTTAATGTACAACAGTCTTATATGGAGATCAGGTATATACATGGTACATATACTCATAGTACACTACTGTACACTGTGCAATACTGTACAGCAGTACAGTACTGGAAATCAGGTAAATACATGGTACATATACTCATAGTACACCACTGTACACTGTACAATACTGCACAGCAGTGCAGTACATGTATATTCAGTACATAATATTGGTATACTACTGTACAATGTACAGCAAAGTATATCATATCTGTACACTTCTTGGCACGTATATGTTTGTACTGGAGTGTACAACAGTACTGCACCAATTTAAAATAATTATTCCAAAACTAAAAACTATTATGTCTATTTCAGAACGGTGATATGATCTGTAAATTTGGGTTTTATAGTTCAGATATTGGAGTTAATATCAACCCTCTACATGATCTCACACCTACAGAGGAAAATCAAGGTTCATCTTACAATTCTTTTTCTGAAAAATTATTATATTTTTGCTAAGGGAGTGTTAAAGTTATCTTAAGTGATACTTTCTTTAATATTGAAGAGTGCAATTAACGATTCAGAACACACCTCCTTAGAACATTGTAAAAAGTTACATTGTTACCTACAGAAGCATCGAATAGCTATGAAATATAAAAATCTATGGAAACAAACAAACAAATGTCTTTCAAAATGTACACAGGTAGACACCGTTGTGTATTTAATTTAATTTTTTTAGGGCCATTGGACTTTTGAAATATTATAGTTTTAACTTTTCAATTGTATTTTTAATTTTTACGATTTAAACACTACAGAGAAAAAGTATTAACTAATGTTTAGGTTTTACCTACACATATCCTGGGGACCATAGACAAACATACTCACCTTCACCGCTACAGGAGAACAATTTGACCCATGCTGCCGGGTTGACTCAAAATGACGGGTTGACTCAAACTGACGGGTTGACCCATGCTGCCGGGTTGACTCAAGCTGCCAGATTGGCCCCTTCTGCAGGTAGAGATGGGCATAGTTTTTTTTATAACGAACAAGATTTTAAGAACGAACGAAATTTTTCGTGAAAATCTATCCTTTTTTACTGAACAAACGATTTTTTGAAAAAAACTATCGTTTTTTACTGAAAGAATTTACCGACCGAGAAAACAAACGAAAAAGATGGAAAATGAACGATAATTTTTTAAATGATTGAATAAAAAACGAACGAAATTTAAAAAAAAAACTTTAACTTGCTCATCTCTAGCTGGAGGGTTGACCCCTGCTGCTGGGCTGACCCTGACTCTGACCCCGCCAGCTGGAAGTAGATCTAGTCTGAATACACCAACAAACTTAACTCCTTGCATAAACTTTGATATATCTCCCTCTCAGGTAAATAAAATTCAATTTCAATTCTAAAGTTCTATTCGAAATATCTAAAATACGGATGACAAATCTATATTTCCGATAGAATTTGTGCAAATATGCAAGGTTCACTTATCCTCCTATAGGAAGGTATTTCGTTCCTCTCTCAGTCCCATTGGTCGCCAGCAATCCAACTAACTGAAAGCTTAAAGGGAGTGTTCGTGAAAAACGAAAGAGGGTCAGGCTAAATCCGAAAAAAGTCGGACTCAATCGGTACTAACTTGTTTCTATCTGTTTCATCTATGACGAGAAAATAATTTAAAACGCTAAATACCCAAGAGCATAGAGCCCTGCATATAAATTCACCTAGTTGCGTTATTCCAAACAAACCATTATTAATTAAAGAAAAATAAAATCTGTCCATTCATTCATCATTGATAAATTCCAGATTTTTCCGGATCATAACAATGTAGTTGATATTTCATAATAATCTTTACTTTAAATGATCAGTTTGTTACTTTTGAGAAATATTCATTCCTGAAAGAACCTGTAAAATCTTTCCCTGGGATGTTTAGAAAGATGAAAATTTCCCTGTATGATAATTGAAGGACTACAGTTTGGTTTTGGTGAATTATATTGACGTACAAAGCCTAGTGGTGTCAAAAAATATTTTTTTGCATTTTTTTGAAATCGTCCCATAAAATTTAAAAAAGTTTATATTTGATAAAACTTTTTGTTCTGGTTGATTGCATATATTTATAGAAATTTTTCTTAAAACGACATGTTTTTTTCTAAATTCACTTTGTTAAGAGTTTAAGTCAAAATGATTATTGATAATTATTGATTTATATCGAGTAGATATCCTTATAAAACATTTTTTAATTCCTTTCTTTATTAATAACGTCACTCATTAAACAACTAGCCGAAGTGCCCGGCGTTGCCTGTGAAAACAATAATACATACATTTCAACTATTTTTTTGGCTAATTTGAACAAGAAATTGTTTTATTTCATGGTTAGGTTAAGACAGTTTCTGGGCACAGAGGCAGCGGTTAGGACAGGCTAGCGCTGCGTCTGGAAGTTAAAATGAAATAAACTTAGTTCAACTAAACCTCAATTGAACTATTTTCTGGTTCATTTAAACTATTTTTGTGTTTAAATACAATGGAATATAAAAAAATGAAATGTCCATCTTCTAAAACGTATAAAATATAATAAAATACTAGGCGCCCATCTTCCATTTCAATTGTACACATGTTCTCTTTCTATAAAACAAAAACAAACAAAAAATTTACGGATTTTATGAAAAAAATCGTAGATTTTCAAAAATCTAATTTTGTTGAAGGACAATTTTTGAAAATCGATCATCCATAAACCGTCGGGGTCACGCGAGGTCCCACAAAAATTTGGGCCCGATTAGTTGACGTTTATTGGAAACAACCAAATAGACACCATGACAACCAAAGCATATATATATAGTTAAAACGCTTAAAAAATGCACATAGTTACCACGTGTACAAACTAATTAGAGTAAATAGCATGCCTACGATTAAAAGCTTTTATGTTTTAAATGATAACATAAAAAGAACATAAAATATTTAAAATCTCTAAAACGTTACCAAATAAACTTGCTAAAGAATAAAAAATTGTCTACATTGTCTACATAATATCAAAACTAGAGGAGTTACGAGGGAACAAAGTCGTAACAGTGATGTTATATAAAAAGTGTAATACGCTTCCTAAGAAGAGTGAAATTCATTCTTCTCATATAAATATAATTTTTAGTTTGATGTTTGGTCTCAGAGATCCAGCTTTCTTGGTTCTAATCTTTCATTCAACAGTTCGTACAGTACACAGGTATCAAAACACTACACAGTACAAACATTGTAAATATTTCATATTTATAGTTTTTGGAATAAGATTGTAAATATGTATAGCTCTTGGAATAAGATTGTAAATATTTACAGCTCTTGGAATATGATTGTAAATATTTATAACTCTTGGAATAAGATTGTAAATATTTATAGCTCTTGGAATAAGATTGTAAATATTTATAGCTCTTGGAATATGATTGTAAATATGTATAGCTCTTAGAATAAAATTGTAAATATTTAAGACTGTAAATATTTACAGCTCTTGGAATATGATTGTAAATATTTTCAGTTAACTCCTGAGCCTCAACATTTTGAATTAGGTAAATATCTTTTTTTTATGAATATTGAGATGACATATTTGAGATAACTCGATTTGCTTAAAGGGGGTGTTCGCGAAAAATGAAAGGGGGTATAGGCTTAATGCGATAAAAAGGCGCATTTGATCGCTACTAATCATTTTTCTATCTGTTTCGTCTATAAGGAGAAAGTTGTTGAAAACGACTCACACCGAACAACGTAGTGTCCATACAAATTCGGAAAGATGCAACATTCAACGCGGATCGTAAACAAACCAATTTAATTCCAAACAAATCATTCAGATATTACAAACAGTAGTCATCGATTATTTTTCGACGCATTCGTGTTAATATTTCATTATATTCTTGATTTTGTTTTTTAAAATAATTTTCGCTGGCGCTGGATTTTCGAACATTCCTGGAAAATATGAAAATGTCGTCTTCATTTTCAAAAATCCTCGAAACAGGAATAAATGCCTTCAAAAGTAACTCTCAGATCATGAAAAATACAAAATATTATGAAATATCAACTATTTACGAATGGGTCGAAAAATAATCAACGACTATTGTTTGTAATATCTGAATGATTTGTTTGGAAATAAATTGATTTGTTTATGATCCGAGTTAAATGTTGCATCTTTCTGAATTTCTATGGATATTACGTTCTTCGGTATTAGTAGTTTTTAACAATTTTCTCCTTATAGACGCAACAGATAGAAGTAAGATTAGTAGCGATCAAATGCGCCTTTTTATCGCTTTAAGCCTACACCCCCTTTCATTTTTCGCGAACACTCCCTTTAAACTTCGGAGATAGGGTGTCCCAAGAAGCATGACAGTTGGTAAATAGTTTTGAATGTCGTCTTCCATAAACTGTGTTAGATCTAAAGGCTGTATGCAGTTTATTTTGATTAGAAAATCTTTTACTCAAATATATTTTACTTTTAAAGTTAATTAATAAAATGTCGTTTTCTTAAATTACGGAGGAATGCTGCAGATATTTAGTTTTTTATTGAATAATTGAATAGAGCTGTTTAAAATCTGTTACTTCATATTTCCTGGCAGCTAATTATTTACTTTTACAATTACTGAGATTTAGGCACAGTTTAGCCCAGAACTTTGGAAACATCGAAAGAATCTATAACAAAGTGGTCTTGACAATTGTTTTATACTATTTATCTATACTATACCTAAATCTTAAGAACTATAAAAATAAATAAATAACAATATATATATAAATGTAACTCATCATAATAGTTTCAGAGGCAACATCAAGACGACAGCGCTTTAGATCTAATAGGTATTAACATTTATTTTGTTATTTTTAAATAATATGCATTATATTTTAATTTGTAATACGAGTACATCTGAGCTTATCGTTCCGTTAGAAAATCAGTCAGGTCAAAACCAGATTGGGGATTTGCGGTAAAAAAAATGTAAAAAGTTCCACGAAAAATCCAAAGGAAAATTTTTTTTCATTTTTAAAAAAAAGGGCTATTGATTTTATCCAATTTCTATAAATTGGTCACACAGATATATTTTGTTGTTATTAGAATCCTACTTTTTACGAAATTAAGTTAAATCCAACATCGTTGATGGGAACAAATGGCTACGTTTTGTTCTTCAGTCCAAAATGTAATTTACATGTTTTTAAATATGATGTAGGGACGGGAATGCACTGCATGAAAAGTAAAAAAAACCCTTATTAATATATTAGTTTAAAATTAAATCCAAATAATTAAATAAACAAACTAAAACATTTTATCTTTGTTAACATAATATTTTTTTTAAAAACATACTATTTTGCGAGAAACTCAGCTGAAAAATAGAAAATTGGAAGACGACATTTCAGAATGAATCAGCTTACGGTTGCAAGTACACACTCGGACTCCTACATGGACCCTAACTATGCAAACAAACGCCGATGGGAATACAGGTAAAAAAATACGTGCACATTGTTAATCTGGAATGGACGCAAAGCTTTCTAAAAATGATCCTCCCTCTTATATGGAAATCAAGTGACGACTTTTATTGTCGTCTTAAAACATTTTACTTTATTACATTTATAGTGTGCCCCATTTTTAATGAAAATTTGAAGGATACTAAGTACGATAATGAATGTTTACTTCATGTTTATTTCATGTTTACATCATGTTTACTTTATGTTTACTTCGTGTTTACTTCGTGTTTACTTCATGTTTATTTCAAATTTACTTTATATTTACTTCATATTTATTTTATATTTACTTCATATTTACTTTATATTTACTTAAATTTTTTACAGTTCGGCGTCTTTAAATTGTCTCGTTTAGTGATGTTCAATGAGACACCCTGCATGGGATATATATAATCATTATCATATTTACTATAAATACTTTCATTTTTGATTGTTAATATTAATATTTTCATTGCGTATTACAGTGAGAACCAGAAAATGTTAAAATGGAAGGCGACATTTAAGAAATCATTAAGTATTTTTTATGTTGTTACAAAGTAAATTGTTTTATTAAATCAGCTATTAAGTGAAATAGGTCTGTTTACTCTTCACATTGATGTGTCTCATGTTTATTGGACTATAGAAAGTCATAACTTGTGTCTAAAAGTCGTCTTCCTCATTCAGAGATATCTGGTTCTCTCTGTATAATATTTCTTCTTATCATTTTTTATTATTGTTATTATTATCATTATTATTACATGATTATTACATGATTATTCTCAGTATATACAGGGTGTCCCAAAAAAACATTGGAATTCAGTGACAAATTGGATATCGTCTTTGTTATGAATTAGAAGTGTGATACCTAATTTCAAAAGCCATAATGTTATTATGTCTGCTAGAGTTTATTTTATGAAAAGGGTAAAAGACTGTAAAGATGTGTTTATAATGTCTCCGCAAGATGAACAGTGAAGACTGACAAGTTTACTCTGTTTGTATACTGCAGTTTTCTTGTTTTAATAAGTACAACCGTATGCAGTCAAAACATAAACAATCAAAATGTAAACATAGCAGACGTAACTCTTACAGATTACAACTTTCTCAGTATAGGTATCACCGTACTAAATCAAAGAATTATCTAAAAAGACGATATCGAATTCCCATGTTTATTGGGACACCCTGTATAATAATATTTACTTGTAGAAACGGTTACACAAATAGTCTTGTGACAGAAAATGATTATAGAGGTAAGCTAAATATTTTTCAAGCTTAATTTTGAAGTTTAATCAAATATCAAAGTCCTTTATTATCTTTTCTGAAAATGGCAAAAATTACAATGGCTGATTCAGATCTCATACCCTTAAAACCTTTTTTCTAATCGGGTATATGAATTTGAAATCATTGTTTTGTATTCTAAAAACTTAATATTTTCAATTTTGGTTTCTTTCCAAAAGGGACACTTGTACAGCAAGAAAACATATAGGAATTTACAATACTAGCCTTAGAGGACGCTTCGCGCCCATCTTCTAAATTAATTGTGAACATGTTCTCTTTGTGTACATCGTAAAACAAAACAAAAATAATTCGTTCCCTGGGGTCCCTAGATGTCCCACAAAAAATTTGGGCCCGATTGGTTCAGCCGTTTTGACGTTTATTGGATACAAACAAACAAACAGACAAACAGACAGACAAGCCAAATTTATATATAGATTAGCGGCCCAACAAACCTAACAATATCTTCAATATTACTGATCGGATAAAGGTTGGAATCAGGCATCACAGTTTCATGCATGGAGGGTCTCTTGAAATTACGCTTACAGTCCCTTTTAGTTTCTGGTTTTTTAACAATTGGTCCAGCAGACTAGCTATAAAAAGAGCAAATCTAAACATTAATAATATAAACTGCTTACCTTGTTATCAAAGCAATCGAGTCTTTGCCACAATAATATTAAATTTTCTAATCCCTATATCTTCGCAACCTGATGGTGAAAACTTTTGATATTTCAAACTTATATTTTTTGATCTAACAGAATCCAAAGTTTGAAATATTCAAGGTCTATGACATCAGGTTGCACAGATATAGGGAATGTCACTGTAAACTCTACAGTACTGTACATCAGTGCTGTACTGGAGATCAGGTATATACAGTACATATAGTACACTACTTTACACTGTAAACTGTACACTGTGCAGTACATTCGACATTTTAAAGATAAATAAATTCATAGAAAAAAGTCCCAACAGAAAACTTGAAAGTTTGACTTTGATTCTATAATAAATTGAAAAAATTGTTGGAAGATAAAACTTGGGAAAATGTTCTTCTAAATAGAGACCAGGACAGAGCATTTAATAAATTTTTTGAGTTTATTGATAGCTGTTTTGAAAGTTCATTCCCTGAAAAAAATGTAAATCCTTCCAGAAAAAAATAGACTTTTTAATGTCTGAAGCACTGATAATATCGAGAAAACTTAAAGCCAAATTGTTTAATATAAAATTGAGGAAATCCTGTCAAGAAACTAAATCTAGATTTTGAAATATAATGCAGTGTATTCTCGCCTTGTGCCTTGTGAGGGCAGCACGAAAAAATACTTTGATGATGAATTTCAAGAATATAGTAAAGATTGTAAAAAAAAAACATGGCAAACTGTCAATAGTGTACTAGGAATTGGAACGTAAAACATTCCCAGGGGCCGTAGAAATACCAGAGGGTTTTAATAATTTTTTGCTAATATATGCCCTGATCTAGCAAAAACTATTAAAGGCACTGAAAAACAATTTTCTGACTTTTTGTCATAGGGAACGGATGAAAACTTTGTATTTCCAAATATGACCCCTGATGTTATAAATGATGCTCCCTAAAATAGAAGATTGGTTTAAAGCAAACAAACTGACATTAAATGCGTCTAAAAACTAAATATATTCTCTTCAAAAAGAAAAAAAAAAGATGTAAATATCACCTCTCTGAAACTTTTATTAAATAATAAAGAAATAGAAAGAGTAGGAACTGGATGTAAAAATGAATCTTTTAAGTTTGTAGGTGTTCATTTGGACAAAAATCCTAACAATCATCTTAAGTCGGTTAAAAACAATGCATCCAGTGCAGTTTTTGCATTGTCAAGTGTTAAAAAATATTATTAATGTGCAAGAAACCTAATTGTTATTCATGTAAAACTAATTTGATATGTTTTAATATGCTTTGATACTTTGTGTACATGTCAGAAAATTACTTTAAACTCTAGTTATTCGAATTAATGTATAATTTATTTTGCATAAGACAGATGGCACCCTGATCCCTAGTAGTTCTCCTTAAATCTATTTAATTGAAATGTTTTGTTTTCATTATTGAAATTAGGTGGAAAAAATAATCAAGCGCGTTTTTCTACCTAATTGTTTTATACTTGTACTTTTAAAATAATTATCAATTTTTAATTGTAAACTCGTTCTGTACACAGATACATGTATTTTAGCAATAAACTTTATCTATCTAGTATCTACCTATCTATCTATTGAACAGCAATGCAATGCAATGCAATGCTGTACTAGAGATCAGGGATAAACAATACAGTACATATACTTATAGTACACAACTTTACACTGAAAAGTAATGTATTGCAATGTTGCACTGGAGATCAGGTATATACAGTACATATACTTATAGCACACTATTGAATACTGTAAACAGCAGTGCTGTACTGAAGATCCGGTTTATATAGTAAATATACTTATAGTACACTACTGTACACTTTATAGTATTGTAAAGTACTGTACAGCAGTGCTATACTGGAGTCCAGGTGTATTATAATAGTACACTACTTTACACTGTACAGTAGTGTACAGCAGTGTTTTACATCAGATCAGGTATATTTATTACATATAACAGTAGTACACTAATGTAAACTGTACTGTACTGTATAGCAGTCTTGTATTGGAGATCAGGTATAAACATGTACACTACTGTACACTGTACAATACCATACAGCAGTGCTTTGCTATAGTAATAAACCCCATATTTGTAAATCTGAACATACCTTTATGTATATTACGCGATAACATTATCTGTAGAGAGCATAGAGTCTGAGAGTGAGTTGTATCTCGATTGATAGATGCATGAGAATACATGGTTATACCTGGATTGGTACAGACTAAAGAGAACTATTGGAGTAAGGCATTTGTTACACATGTGATAATAGTACACTACTGTAAACTGTACCTTACTATACAACAGTCTTATATGGAGATCAGGTATATACATGGTACATATACTCATAGTACACTACTGTACACTGTGCAATACTGTACAGCAGTGCAGTACTGGAGATCGGGTATATACATGGTACATATACTCATAGTACACTACTGTACNCCTGACCCTGACCCCGCCAGCTGGAAGTAGATCTAGTCTGAATACACCAACAAACTTAACTCCTTGCATAAACTTTGATATATCTCCCTCTCAGGTAAATAAAATTCAATTTCAATTCTAAAGTTCTATTCGAAATATCTAAAATACGGATGACAAATCTATATTTCCGATAGAATTTGTGCAAATATGCAAGGTTCACTTATCCTCCTATAGGAAGGTATTTCGTTCCTCTCTCAGTCCCATTGGTCGCCAGCAATCCAACTAACTGAAAGCTTAAAGGGAGTGTTCGTGAAAAACAAAAGAGGGTCAGACTGAGTCCAAAAAAAGTCGAACTCGATCGCTGCTAACTTTTTTCTATCTGTTGCATCTATTAGGAGAAAATAGCATAGAGCCCTGCATATAAATTCACTTATTTGCTTTATTCCAATCATATCAAACCATTATCAATTAAAGAAAAATAAAATCTGTCCATTCAGATATTACAATTGATAAATTCCAGATTTTTCCGGATCATTACAATGTAGTTAATATTTTATAATAATCTTTACTTTATATGATCAGTTTGTTACTTTTGAGAAATATTCCCAGGGAAAGATGAAAATTTCCCTGTATGATAATTGAAGAACTACTGTTTGGTTTTGGTGAATTATATTGACGTACTAAGCCTAGGGGCGTCAGAAATATTCTTTTTCATTTTTTGAAAACGTCCCAAAAATTTAAAAAGTTTATATTTGATAAAACTTTTTGTTCTGGTTGATTGCTTATATTTATAGAAGTTTTTCTTAAAACGACATGTTTTTTTTCTAAACTCACTTTGTTAAGAGTTTAAGTCAAAATAATTATTGATAATTATTGATTTATATCGAGTAGATATCCTTAAACATACCGATGTGAAACCTTTCAGAAAGTAGGAAAGATTCTGCAAAAAAAGTTGCCAAACCAAACAGAATTTTTATAAAATAATGATTCCAGAGCCTCAATTCTGTATTCAATTGTAGAACATTTTAATATCTCCTTGCAGATTTCTTTTAATTTTGCAGTTGGAAACAGAAATAATTTCAAAAAAAATTTCAGAAAAACTATTTATTTTTTCTCAATTGTGAATC